CAATTGTTTCAATTATGCATTTGTGAGTGTAACCTAACCCCCCCCCCCCTTGAGAGAACCCTATTATCCCTTTTGATAAGTGGCGATGCACCATATAATTTTCCTGTCAAATGCCAGACAAATATACTTGTCAATGCAAGGGGAGAGCTCTGGCACTCTATGGGCTGACCAGTATATATGCAAGTTGCAATGCAACCCAATGCACCCTACTTTATTATTCAACCTACAATGCACCCTACTTTATTATCTAAATAGCAGACAATTTTATTTGTGAAGGGGAGAGTGCTGAATGAGTTAACCCTTCAATTAAGTGGCATGCACTCTGATGCACCCTACTTTAGTATTTCACTCTGTCTAATACCAGATGATTTTACTCATCAAGTGGAGAGTGCTGCCACTCAATGGGTTAAGTGGAATATTATACTAATTGCTTCAAACAAAGGTGATTCCCATTTGTGGCATAACATTTAACCAACTAGGGCATTCTTCTTCAAGTTTTCTACACATCTCAGGATTTTTCTTGGCATCTGGAAAAGTGTAATAGAATACATCCAATCAGTCACATACTATATTATCTATATAATTTGGTCTACATGCTACTGAACAATATTATTTTTTTCCTTTCAAATATTAAAATATGTCATTTCAGACATTAGGCATCCCTTCCCACCCATTGACTTCTATCTATTTCTACTGTATGTACTATCCATAAATTCATATTTGTCAAAAAAAATTCAATCATGTCTATCTGTGCTTAGCCTGCTCACAGACGTTGTAGTTGTGCTGGCCTTTTTATATATGAACTATGAACTTTAGTGTACAACTATCTATTGGGCCTCCTATGTTGTTAGCCATGAAAAAAGATTAAATAAAGTGTCTACTAAAATCAAACTCAAAATTGTAGTGTGAGCCTTGCAAGCTTTTATTCAACACTTACTCCTACAGAGACACTTGTTAGGAACAGTTTTGATCTTTTTTGTGCCCATTACAACCATGCATATATTGGGCCTCCTATGTCAATACATTCAAACCCTAGGATAAGACTATAAGTTGGTACTATTGACACCATTTGGCATTTGCGACTTGACACCATTGAACTATAAATAAACTGGAAGGCTAACTGCTATGATGAAGGCCTATGATTTGATGAAGCCAAAATAGTTTTTCTGAGTTATGAGCAGAAATACTTGACCCCAAACGTCGGGCTATATATCAAATTGAAGCTATTGAAAATTGCTATCCGGTGTGGAAATTTCAAGACTTCAGCGAAAAGAAAAATCTTTAAAAAATACAAAAACAACTGCAAAACGGCAAATTATCGGTAATTATGTTTGTAGTTTTTCAATATTTCCCTTTTAGCTAAAGTCTTGAAATTTCTACACCAAATAGAGTTTTTCAATAGCTTCAATTTGATATATAGCCCAACGTTCAGTGTTGAGTATTTCTGCTCATAACTCAGAAAAACTAAAATGCACTGGCTTCAATTTCCCCCCGAGTTAGCCTTCCAGTTTATTTATAGTTCAATGCTTGACACTTGTCCATCATTTTAAGGCATTTCTGTTACAATACTGCGAGCAATATTGTATGTGAAAATTGATGTTGGATCTTTGGGTAAGGGCTCCAGAGGAAAACAGAAACTATAACCTGCCCAAATGGCAAAATAAAACACAAAGAAAAGTGATAAAAGGCAGAAAAATACCAGCTGCTGTACAGCGTCGTTAATATATTTGTAAATTTCGTATCCAATTTTTTCTTTTAAAAAACGGTATTTAGTACAAATGAAGCACAGAAAAAGAGTTTAATACATCTTACCGGTAAAAAGAAGTGTTTCTTCTTGATATTAAAGAATTGTGGCATCATGAAGCCATGCAAAAACTTGGCATTTTTTCTTGATGTTTTTTACATAAACTTTAAGGCTTCAGCAGAGTTTGTGCAAAAACCAGGGGGGTGAAATCGTCGTCTGAAGCTGAGGATCGCGGTTGGTCAGTGGTAATTACCACGAGGATTTAGGACCAGTGGCGTCATTCTGGCGTCAGCAAACGTGAAAATCCGCCATGTTTTTGGCGACACTCTTTGATGCCGAGCACTTCCTCCAGATATATTATAGCTCAGTGGGTGAAACGCGCTAATATTTGCCTGATCCATGTGTGATGCACGGGAGACTGGCGCGAGCGTGCGAAATGCGCGGATGAAGCGGGATTTTTAAAGATGAAGCGAAACAAAAACAAGAGACAAAAATATTTAAAGGGCAATCAAAAAGTGCAAATTTTTAAGGTAAATTTATCCTTAAAATGGAAAAAAATTAACTTGATATAAAATAGAGACTCCGACAATTAATTAGTATTGCAAATTACATCGCTAGAGTTGGAAAAGCATTTTTAAAATGTGAAATTATTTGAAGGCATAGCGATTTTATCATAAAATATATTTACATTTTTCAGGCAATGACAAATTGTAGTCGAGTTTTTTAGGCAGACCGAGTGGAAAAAAAGTTAACTTCAACCCTTTAAATTATCTATAATTAGTTATACTTTCGATCTGAAAAGGTTAGAAAATGGGCTTTTGTGGGCTTTTTTTTCAATTTAAAGATTTATGACCAGGTCACTTGCGTAATTTACAATGACACAACTTGTGACCTTGTTTTGATAAAGTTAGAAAACAATTGTCAATTTAGAAAGCATTGGAAACATTTTCATTAACATATTCAGGCATTCAAATGCAATATAAAAGTTAGGGAAAATATTCAATTATAAGCAACAAGCAGAAAATTCCGTTTTTACCATGTTAAAGGTTGTTTTATTTCTCTTTTCGAACTTACAGTATGCAACTGAAATGTCCGCCAAAAGACTCCAAATTGCGTGTTCACAGCGATGTCGCAGTTTTACAAGCGCGGAAACTTTTTAACTTTTAAATATTTCATGCACAATATATGAAAACTAGCTTTATTTTGATGTTTTTGGATAATTTAAGTACGTAATTTTCTGAAAATCATCAAATGATAATGGGCTTTTTTAATTTTTAAACATTTTTTTGCCCTTATTTTTGACATGTGCATGCCAAATCTACACAATGCCATAACGAATGCAAGCCGAAGCGATAGTTTGTTGTCGCAGTTTTACAAGCGCGGAAAAGTTTTAACTTTTAAATATTTCATGCACAATATATGAAAAGTAGTTTTATTTTGATGATTTTGTATAATTTAAGTACCTAATTTTCTGAAAATCATCAAATGAGAATGGGCTTTTTTAATTTTTAAACATTTTTTTGCCTTTATTTTTGACATGTGCATGCCAAATCTACACAATGCCATATGGAATACAAGCAAGCGATAGTTTGTTGTCGCAGTTTTACAAGCGCGGAAAATTTTTAACTTTTAAATATTTCATGCACAATATATGAAAAGTAGTTTTATTTTGATGTTTTTGTATAATTTAAGTACCTAATTTTCTGAAAATCATCAAATGAGAATGGGCTTTTTTGTTTAAACATACTTTTTTCCAGCTTGTTTCATAGGGTGTCAGATTTAAAACGCGAAGTGGAAGGCAATGCTATTCCATGTGTAGATTCGGCATGCACATGTCAAAAACAAGGCCAAAAAAATGTTTAAAAATTAAAAAAGCCCATTCTCATTTGGTGATTTTCAGAAAATTACGTACTTAAATTATACAAAAACATCAAAATAAAAATAGGTTTCATATATTGTGCATGAAATATTTAAAAGTTAAAAATTTTCCGCGCTTGTAAAACTGCGACAACAAACTATCGCTTGAAAAAAAGAACTTGCTGTTTTTATCAATTTATGGCGCTTCATCTGGTGGAACTTGACAAAAATACATGTGATTGAACATACCTGATTTCCAAACACACATTCCAGTTGCAGGTTTTACAACAACAGCCGTTTAAAAAACTTTTTCTTCGTCTTTTTTTTCATCTTTTAAACGAACGAAGTTGTTTTGCAAAAACAATCGATCCTCGTGAGTGAGATCCCAGACTTATATCACACAACATTCCCCATATAATCAGCCGTGATTAAGAATCCGGAAATAAGATTTTGTCTATAGTAATAGCACAGCTCCCAAATCCATTGTGAATTCAGCTTGAATTGTACCTTTTTACGTAGTAATTTTAAAAAGAAGTCAAAACAAACATGCATGCCTGATCAAACCACATCGAATTCGAATAAAAATGAAAATATGCGGGGGGACCTGCATCACACATAGATCAGGGGTGCCATAGCCGTTTCACCGCCCGTGTTTTACAGCGCCCTGATCACACATAGATCAGGGGCGCCATAGCCGTTTCACCGCCCGTGTTTTACAGCGCCCTGCTCCAACTTACCTCTCCGCGCGCGTCGATCTTACATTTGACTTTTGGGAAAAATATATCAATAGTATACCAATAGACGTTTCCCCTTGTGAGTGAAATTTTGATCTAGATATGCCTGGACAAAAATTTCATCACAGCTTGAAAGAGCATCACAAAATTAGTAATATTCCGAAGTTTCGTTGCGAAATGTTGTAAAATGCGGAGATACCGTTGGATTGTTCGATCGTACGAAACTGCTACTTCTGCTTTCCTTACTTTGCCATCCTCACTGTTATAGACGGCGTGTAATTTTCATTAACCATGAGGTTTTCATATATTTATTTAGTATAACTCAACAGTTTTTACAGAATAACTCTGTTTCTCAAAAACGTTTTGTGTTCGTTCTGTCCTCTGACCTCTCTATTTTCAATGTTACTGGACAAAAGTCTATTACCATAATAAATTAACATGAACTATATAATAAACTGGACAAAGTCCAAAACACCCCCGCCCGTGACGTGAACGGGGGGAACGTTACTCATCATTAAAAGCTTCCAGTAATGCTAACCGTCCTACAGGACGTGTCAATGTTCCAGTTTTCGTTGCAATCTCCGCGGATCTGATCAGTCCGTCTTCACTTGCGATCGGTGCAATCACTCTTCCGAGCCTCCAATGCGAACGAGGTACGTCCTTCTCAACGATCAAGACAAGATCACCGCGACGTAAATTTCTGTGTGCAACATTCCATTTGCTTCGCTTTATTAACTGCGGAATGTACTCATTCGACCATCGGCGCCAGAATTGGTTCGCTAAGAACTGGCTATGACGCCATCTTCGACGTAACGACATATCTCGTTGGTTAAACTCGCCGGGCGACACGTTCGAACTCGCACGACCATGCAAGAAGTGGTTTGGTGTAATCACGCTGAGATCTGTTGGTGAATCACTGCTTCCACCATAGACAAGCGGACGAGAGTTCAGCATCGCTTCTACCTCGGCAATGACAGTAAGGAAAACTTCATCGACTGTGAGAACATTCCCAAGCATAACTTTCAATGCCCGTTTGACAGACTTTACTAACGCTTCCCAGGCACCTCCAAACCATGGGGCAGCAGGTGGGTTAAAGATCCAACGTACTCCACGTGCTGTTAACTCATTCGAGATTTTCTCTTGATCCAGATCTTCCAAAGCTTCGCGCAACTCTCTTTCGGCACCTACGAAATTTGTCCCATTATCACTCATTATACAAACAGGGACTCCTCTACTAGCTTGAAATCGTCGCAACGCCATTATACACGAGTCAGTGTCCAAACTATGTGCGACCTTGAGATGAACCGCGCGCATATGGAGACACGTAAATAAGCAAATATAGCGTTTTTCCTTTCGATTGCGTCCAATTCGAGTCTCAAACGGTCCGGCATAATCAATCCCAACGTGTCGAAAAGGAACACTTGCGCCTGCGAGACGTACATTCGGTA